GAAGGGAAGACATGATATAAATTCAGTAGTCATGTAAGAAATTCTCAAAAAGAATTTTAAAAACTTCAAATTAAAAGAAATTTTAATGTTAAAAAGAAGAAAATATTGAAAACTACAACTACTGTGTTACATTTCTTTTGTATTTCCTCAGTCCTGCTGACCTTTGCTTCATATGTTTTCCCGGAGTTACTAGTGTATGCACATTTTAATTGCAATGTTTCTTGGTACATTTAACCTTTTATTAGTATGCTGTGTTCTTCTCTGTCTCATAAACTTTTTGATTTAGGGTTTGTTTTGCTTGAAGTATGGCTCTGCTCCCTTTTTGGTTCCTATGAAACATCTTTTCTCCTTATTTCACCATCAGCCCTTTGGTGTCTTTGGATCTAGCAGGACTGTTTATATCTGTCTTAGTTGGGGTTAGTATTGCTGTGATGAAATGCCATGGCCAAAAGCAACTTGGGGAGAAAAGGGTTTATTTTGCTCAGTTTCATTTAATAGTTCATCATCAAAACAGTGAGGGCAAGAACTCATGCAGGTCAGAATCCTGGAGGCAGGAACTGATACAGAGGTCATGAGGGGGTACTTACTGGCTTGTTCTCCATGGCTGGCTCAGCTGTCTTATAAAACTCAGGGGTGACCCCACCTACAATGGGCTGGGCCCTCCCTCATCAATCACTAATTAAGAAAATACCCTACAAACCTTGCTATAACTTCATTTTATTAAGGCATTTTCTCATTTCCAATGACTCTAGCTTGCATACATAAAACCAGCCAGTATAGTATCATACCCGTTAGTCACTGTAACATTTTTACAGTTACATCTGTACATTTTGACAGGAGAGGTTTAGTATGTTTGCACTTACACTGATGACAGTTCAAATGACTTCTGTAATTCTGCTATTGTTCTAATTGTCTTCTAGCTTTACTTCTTACCATCCTCCAGTGGTTAATGGACTTTTAGTGAAATGTTTAAACTATGTTTCTACTTTCACTTGTGTGTATTCCTTGCATATTTTGGCATTAGGTTTAGACTAACTAAGGTCCTAGAAGAGTTCACAATGGTCAAAGATGGGTAGAACTGGGAAAATATCCATAATCAAGGCTATACAGCAACATGGCACTGTAGTTCAACAAGACTGTGTTGGCCAAAGCACATGTGGCAGAGCAAGATAAAATTTGGACTTAATTTAGGTCTTGTGGCTTTCAGAGATGTGCTCTTCATTAGTCAGTTTTTCTTTGTAATGACAAAATTCCTGAGCAAAGTAACTTAAGGAGAGGTAATTTATTTTAGCCACAGTTTCAGGGATTTTCATCTGTGGTCACTTGGCTCCTTTGCTTTTGGACCTATGGAGATAAACAGGGTAGAATGGTGGGGAGTGTGGTAGAGCTCAGTGGCTCAACTCATGGTAAACAGGAAGAGTGAGAGAGAGAGCATGCCTATGTTTGCCACCTTGTTTCCACTGGAGCTCCCTACTGGATGGTGTTGTTCACACTGGGATAGGTCTTTCCCATTCAGGTACTGTTCACATCTCATTCATCTCTGTGAAGCAGCCCTGCAGACTCACAGAGCTGAGCCAGGCTGCCTTAATCTCACAGTCCAATTGTTGACAGTCAAGACCATGTGCCCTCTGCCCTCCCGTTTTGCCCTATTAGAATAGTCTTTAAAAACCCAGGATTTCTGCAGCTTCTTAGAATCCCCCATGACAGCGCCCCTTACCAGCAGGAAGTAGTTTGGAAAGAACGACGCCCAAATTCCCAAAGATTGTCTGTAAATGTTTGTTTTCATTTAAAAAGACATGATTATATTAAAAAAAAAAAAACACATTTTGTTTCAAGAAAAGTTAAAGCCAAAGCTGTAAGCAGACCAATGTTTGTGGCAACTTTCTAACATACAGCAATGTCAGAGTTTGATTCTCAAGGGTGGCAGGCTGGACTTATTCAGGGGTTTACAGTTGCAGTCAGATGGACTGGATAGGTGGAGAGGCAGCCATGTTGCCCTGCACACCCAACAGCTGGATGTACAGATATAGGCAGCAGATCTTCTCCCCCTCTTCTCTTTCTTATCTTTGTTAAAGCAGGACAGGATGGAGGGTCTTCCTAGACCTCTATCAGATAACTGCTTCTCCAGTCAAAGCCACCCTCTCAGTGGAAGAGGCTGCCAAGGAGATAACTCCCTGTTCCTTGACACTGAATTGACTGATGATGCTGTTTCATATGTATAGTTAACTTACAATAGAAGCAGACAGGGGGGCGGAGGAGAGGAGGGATTGAGAGGAAGAAGGAAAGAAATGTAAATGCAGTCAGCATTTCCACCTGTGCTTGAGAAGACCCAGGGGCTGGAAGGAAATCCTCCCATTCCCTCCTCCAGGTTAATCTGCAACAGCCCCCTTGCTGTGCCAGCCCCTGGCTGAGCAGAGGGTGACTTTGCATTGGAATCTTTTTGTTTAATGTGCAAAGTAGCTTCTAAATACAAACCAAAATGCTGGTGCTTTGCTGGAGGATCAGAAGCTATTCCAACATCTGCTGGACATTTTCAAAGGCCATTTTCATAGCAACATCCATCTCCCTTGAGTATTTTAGCATCTGGCTGCTGTGGAAGATACAGCTCCATGGAAGCTGCTTGACTCAGCCTTGACCCCAACAACTGTCTCTTATTATCTATGCAGACTGTATAAGAATATTCACCACACTTGGAGTAGTGGAAGAGGGAGAGACATGGAGAGAGGAAGAGGAGACGAAGAGAGATGGACAGAGAGAAAGGAGGAAAATAGGGAGGGAGAGAGGGGAAAGAGCATGGAAGAGAGAGAGAAAGAGAACTAGAAATTTACTCAGACCTTCTGCATTAGTAGCTTTACTTGCCTTTTTTTCCCCCTCCCTGGAGACAAATTCAACTGGACCTGAGTGCAGGATTGACTGCCAACTGGGAGGCATTACCTAAATTTAACTTTTTTCGGTCATTAATCCTGCAAATCTGCCCTGTGCATGTTCTTAGATGGCTGCAATTACCAATTTGCTGCTTGTCATAATAGTCATTAGGAGCAGAAAATATTATTAAATGACTTATGGGAAAAAATAATCTGGGAGCTATAATGCTTCCTCTCAGGGCATCAGGACCAAGTGGAGATGGAGTACAAGCATTTCCCCAGCTCAGGGGCTGGGTTCATGAACTGTTCATCAGAACACTTTGTTGGTGCTTTTAATTTTTAAATTGAGACACAGTGTAAAGAATTCCAGGGCTGGGGCCTGGAAATATGGCTCAGTCATTAAGAGCAGTGACAGCTTTTCCAGAGGACCCACGTTCAAGTCCCAGTATCCACCTGCACACTTATCCTGTGTATAGGATATGGGGGCTGGGTAAGGCAGTGATTTCGAAAGAAGAAAACAAAACAAGGTGGTACACATGTGTATAAACCTAAAGTAGCTGTAATATACTTCCCCTTGATTCAAGAATCCTGTCACAGCCCAGTTCACAGCAGGGTCTCTACCTTCCCTGTGGCTGAGGCTCTGTGGGTTTGCAGAAAGTGACCCGGGGGCCTTTACAGGAGATTTCTTCTGCCTCATTTCCATTTCCCCATCAGACAGGGAACTTTGGGGGTGGGGACCGGACAGGGATTCAGCAGTGTGTTTGCTGCTCATCTTCTTAGCCCCAGGTCCCAGCTGTGGGCCAGGGTTGTGAGAGTCCTGTTGATGAAGGCTCAGCTAAACTGCAGTGACTCATCAGCAGAGTTGAGGAGGTTTGCTTGGGGTATACCCCCCAGGTCATTGACAGGATCCTGAGAAACTGCAGGAGCAGACCTCCATGATCACTGCAGCTAGAAAAGAGGCAGGGAAGCTGGTGTGTGGGAGGGAACCTTGGAAGAGCTGAGACTCATCTGAAACATTCTAGCAGGCCCAACATGGCAAACACAGGCCTGAGCATGGCAAACATGTCAACAAAAGGTTTTGCCCTTGACCCTTCTCTCCTGTTTCCTCTAACTAAACCATTAGATTACATTCTAAAGCTAGCCCCCAAGGTCTATTCCGGCATTTGGCCACTTCCTCCTTCTGAGGTGACTACCAAGGTCCAGCAATCAAAAGCCCCCATTGCTCACATAATTAACATGCCCAGTTAAAATTAAACACCTCATCCTAACACAGGTTTCCCCCTTTCCTTTTATAAACTGCCATTTGTCTAAGGGCTACATCTGTGTCCTCTCTGTCCAGAGCCAGTCCTTTGTCCCTCTGGGGCAAATAAATCTCCTTTGTACTGAGAGCTTGGTCTTGGCATATCTTGTGCTGATTCTGGTCCCAGTCATGGCTGCCCTAACACTGTGGTGGAATCCCATCAGTCTTTGTTGTGTGGAATTATCCCTTGTGATTCTTGGTAATAGTGGAGGCCAAGTTTCCCATTTTCTTTGGGATTGTGCTTCTTCAAAGTGAGAATTGACTTCCATCTTGGACTTTCCCACCCCTCTCCATTTTTTGTAAATTTTTAAACATTATTCTGTATTGATTCTTTGAGGATTTCACAACATGTGCCCCAACTCTGCTCACCCCCCCCAGTCCCTCCATATCTGCCCCTCACTCCTGCAGCATGTTTCCTCCAAATTAATTAAAAGCTAAACAAAACAAATGAACAAAAACCACTTCATTCCTCCATTTTTGCAACACATCTTCATTCATCCTAGTGGCATCAGGAGCTACTGTGTGTCACACAGTATGCCCTTTTGTTCATTGCAATGAGTCATTGGTGTGGTTCAAAGCTTCTGGCACACCATCATCACTAGACCCTCTACAAAACTCTTCGTGTATATCATGCTGTTGCCCCTAGTCATGGAGATCCTGCCGCTATCTTTCTGGAGGACCTGTCCTTTCACACACTCTAGCAGGTCATTTAGGATAGATGTTAGGGTTGGCTAACCCAAGTCCAGGATGTGGGTCTGAGTTGTAGCTGAGCTGGTTGGTCCAGTTCCCTGGGACCTACTCAGGCAAGGGCAGAGCCAGCTCTCTTAGGGCCATACCATTGGGACCAGCTCTCCCATATTTGTGATGAGGGGTGGGGCCATCTCCCCTGAGTTCAGGGGCCAGTTCTCCCATGGGGCAGGGGTCAGCTCTTCTGCTGACAGGGCAGGCTACCCCAGGGCCAAAGAGGGGCAGGACAGGCTCAGTATGGCTCTTGAATGTTCAACACAAATAGTTCCTATGACCCCCAGGCCATGGATATTATCACAGACCCCAGTTATAGCAGGAACACGGCTTTCAGCAGCAGCTCAGGGCAGGACATCACCATAGCCCCGGTGGCCTCACAGGCCACCAAAATCAGCTCTGGCAGCAAAAAGGCTATCAGGTACCAACATGGTCTACCCTGGGTATCTGTTCAGCCTCCTGTGGCAACAAGAGCCATGGACATCAACCCAGCCCCTGGCTGCTGCTGGTCTACAGACCCAGACATGTCCCATAGCATTGACCTGGGCCCAAATGATACTATAGCCCCAGGTGACAGCACAGACCACTGAGATCCATGGCAGGGTGGCCCTTGGACACCAACTTGGTTCCAGGTTTCAGACCAGGCTCCTGGCATTAGCATGGCTTTCCATGGTATCAGGAGCCATAGGCATCAACACAAACCCTGGCTGTGGAAGGACTATGGACCTAAATTTGGTCCTCAGTAGCAGTCCTGTTAAGCCCTTTTTAAAGATAAGATATCCCATGATTCTTTATAAAAACAACCATGGTTACATCCTAAGTGCAGGCCCCTGTTACATCATACACTGTCAGTTTCTTGGCCTCTGGGTGAATCCCTTAGCTAATCTTCCAAGGATTCATTTGTTTTCTAGTCTATCTAACTTTTATCTAACTATGGTGAATAAAGAGATGGAGGCACAGATGACTGGAAAGAGGGAGGAATGAGCCAGGCAGTAGTGGTGCAGGCTTTTAACCCTAGAACTAAGGAGGTAGAGGCAGGAGGATCTCCGTAAGTTCGAGGCTAGCCTGATCTACTAATCCAATTCCAGGACAGGCTCCAAAGCTACAGAGAAACCCTGTCTTGAAAAACTAAAAAACCAATAACAAACAAAGAGGGAGGAATGAATGAATGAATGAATGAATGAATGAATGAATGACTACTTGGGCGGGTGAGTAGATTTAAGCAGATTTGGCTTCCATGTTTCATTTGTTTCCTCCTAAAATTATTATTTTATTTTATCTTTGTTAACTAGTTACATTTATGGGATGCAATGCAATGCATTGACATATACCCACATTGTAAAGTGTATTAAAGAAAGATGGGTCACATATTTTTCCTTCACCTACTTAGTTTTTTGTGTGTTCAGAACATTAAAATGTATTCTTTTTATTCCTGGTGTTTTGTTTTTTGGAAAAAGGGTCTGTATGTTAAAATCTACTCTTAGAAGTTTTAGAAGACAGTGGAGGGGTCAGAGGCCCTAACCCTGTTCCCAAATGGTCATGTCCCTTCCACAACTTCATGTCCTTCTCTTGTTTTCAAATTTAAAAAATGTTTTTATAACCCACTGAGTCCAATTAGTGCTGCCGTTCTATGTGTGAGCTGTATTAGTCAGGGTTCTCTAAAAAAAATAGAACTTAGAGGATGATCTCTCTATAGATAAATATGATTTATTAGAGTGGCTTCCAAGCTATGGTCAACTATTCCAACAATACTATCTACCAATGGGATGTCAAAGAATTTAATAGTCGTTCAGTCCAGGAGGTTGGATGTCTCAACTGGTCCTCAGTATATATCAGAGGAACTGGGTTCTAATACCAGTGGAGGAATGGACTTGCCAGTGAGAGCAAGAGCAAGCAGGCAAGGAGCAAGCACTTCCTTCTTCCATGTCTTTTATATGGGCTGCCACCAGAAGGTGTGACCCACCTCAACTGATCCAATCAAAAAAAAAAAAAAAAAAAAAAAAAAAAAAAAAACCTCACAGGTATACTCAGCAGCTTGAGGTTTGGTCAATTTTAAATGCAGTTAAGTTGACAAACAATAATACCTATCACAGGGGCCACTCACTGCCATAAAAATATTTATATTTATAGCTGTAAATCTGGCCAGCTTTCAGCCTTGGTCAAAGAAGTTTCTTTTTATAGGGCAGGGCCTACTGCAGAAACTCACACCTGGTCCAAGTGCTGAGAATAAATGACTGTGAATGATCAGTCCTAAACAGGACATGGGCAGCAGTCTCCAACCTAAAGGATCATCACTGTTAAAAGTATGGTAAGTTTAGGTTGGTGAGATGGCTCAGGAAGTAGAGGGTCATGCTGTCAAGTCTGATGATTTGAGTTCAGTTCCCTGAACTCATATATCATGGGAGGAGAGAACAGACTCCCACAGGTTGTTGTCTGATCTCTGCATGTGTACTGTGGCATGTATACACACACACACACACACACACACACACTAAAATAAATTTAGGCAAGGAGACTAGAGCTCTACAATACTAAACTCACAAAACATTGATGAGAGAAACTGAACATGTCACAAATAAGTTGGGGTACAGTTTTATTCTTCATGTTGCCTTTTTCTTCGTTTGGGGGACTTTGCTCTTTAGTAAATAAAAATATGCTTTATTCTCTTTCTAGGCCATCAGTTCTTCTACAGTGCAGACCTTCCATGAGTTGTCAATAATTAAAGTAGAAACACATGAAGATATCCTTGATATGTTCTTTTGTTGGTGTGCTCCTATGCTGATTTCACCACTCTTACATATTCTGTGTTTTCTCACATGCTTACCTCTTTGAACATACAAATGTGAAGATGTGTGAAAGCAATTGCAAAAATGTCAGAGAAAGAAAAGCACAGAGCTACAGGTATTCCTGCTTTAAATTCCAAATAGATGTTTCCAAATAGACTTTTCTGCCAATCAGGATAAGCTAGATTGTGGGGGAGACTGTGAATCTCCCTGCTTGAAAATAACAAAGGGTTATTTTCTCTTAATGCTTCCTGTCACTGTGGATTCTGAGGCCTGTACTTCTTAGATCCAGCATGACAATTCTCCCATCATCCAAAGCAACTATGGTTACAACAGTGCAGGGACCACTAAATGGCAATGTGTTAAATCATACACTGATTCATAACTTTCCACTCTGGAGTGACACCTTCATATCTGATTTCTCTGAACAAGGTGCATAGGTAAAGACCTTGCAATACTACCATGTCTTTAGAAGAAAAAACTGACATCCCTAGTGGTCCCCATTTCCTGCAGAAAAGAGCATGATTCAGCTGGACCTGGCAGTATGTGAGGATGTCTCACCCTCTTATTAATCTGAAGAATCTGAATATATATATATATATACATATGTATGTATGTATGTATGTATGTATGTATGTATACACACACACACACACGCACACACACATAGTATTACTTTTCTATTGCCTATGATAAAATACCATGACCAAGACAACTTAGAACAACCAGTTCAGACAGTAAGAGTCCATTATGGCAGCATGGCTGGAGGAGCAGGGAGCTGAGGGATCCATCTTGAACTATGAAAACCAAGCACAGAAGGAACACTGGGAATGATGTGAGACTTTTAAACCTCCTTAAAGAAGCCTCTTCAAGCAGTGCCAGCAACTCGGGACCCAGCGTTCTAATTCCTGAGACTAGAGAACATTTCATTTAAAGTACCACATGCAGCGTATATCTTATATCTGCTTCTACCAAATTAAGAAAAATAGTCTCACAAGCTATTTAGCTATTGCAAATGAGAATGCCTGAAAAGGGGCTGTGTCTGCAAAGGTGGAGTGGCTGTTTAGACCTCTAGTGGTTTGGTGTGCTTAGAATGTTTCAAGTCCAGGGCTAAATTATCTTAAGGCATCCTCATCTCCTATTAATGGCCATTTGTTGCCCTCCTCTGTGAATGAACTAACATGTTTGGTGATCATTATGTAAATCCTTCATAATGTATGAGCAGATCCCTAGTTTCCACCAATCAAAGGTGTCAGACAACATGTAAAGCTTATAGCAGAGTTTTTCTGCTTTGCTATAACCCACCTGATGTATCCACCAATGTATTTTAAAAGTCTATTATTTTATGATTTTATTTTTTTCTGTTACTATTTTAAAAATCAAATTTCCTACCTCACTGGAGCATGATATTTGGGGAAACCTGAATTTATAAACCCAAGCCATGGTCACTCATATTTGGCTCTAGAATAAACTATTTTATGTCTTTGAGAACTGTCTCTTTACTTTGCTCCTTCTTTATTCCAAACCCCTGATCTGCAGAGGCATGGGAGGTAGCAACATCCCATCCCATCCACTCCTCACTGAGCCATGCATTTCTCTGAGGGCCTGGGCTAGGCTCTGTGCTGAGGACATGAGTGCTACCAAAGCCAATGTGCAATGCTGTCTGGGACCTGGAGCGTGCCTGGAGCCTGCCAGTTGGAAATGTGAGATCTGCAGAGTAGTGTCAATTTTGGGCCACATATTGATTATCTGGTCTGCTGTTGTAAAGTTTTGTTACAAAAGATGTCCCGTTCATGGTTTGTCTTGCCTTTCTTGAGATAGGATCTCACTATGAGCCCAGATGGCTCTGAATTCAATGTGCTCCTCAGTATGGGGGTGTCTAGTGTGCATTTCTACACACTGTAAGAATATAGCCTTAGAATTCACACAGCAGCCTCCTCATTTTAGATGCCAACTCTACTGAGACATTTTCTATAAGGCCCAGGCTGCCAGGGTTTCACCTAGGAAGTGAGTTAACTGCCTGCTATCTCTTTCCTGCTCCTGTCTGGGAACCAGAGACTCTCCAGGCTCTTGCTATGAAGAGTCCCCATCCACAGCTATAAGGAGAGGATCCCTCCTTTGTTCTTCAGAGACAATCCCCCACCACCCTGTCCCCAGCCAGAGCCATGCTATTGTCTCTGGTGCTGGGCCTGAACGGTCCTCAGAGTCCTGGCCATGCTATTGCTACCCTGCCTGTTTGTGCCATTACATTACTAATGCTTCTAATAAACTCTTTACTCTGCAATAATCCCCCTCAGTGTCCCTCTTGGATCCCCATGCCCCACTTCACATGCTATGCTTATTTCTTATTTATTGTT